TGAGGCAAGCTGAATCTCTTCCTGTGTGGGACCATACAAAGCGATCTTTTCAAGGCTACCTTACAAATTGATCTTTTCCTATAATCTTTTCAATACTACCTTATGCCTTACAAGCTTGGCTACATACAACCTACAAGTTCTAAAGCCAAGGGTGTACGTGAGTGCGTTACTTGCAAGCACACAAAATGAAGAAACAGGAAGCGAAAATTTATCAGTACCTGGTGCACCGAGAGTGAAATAGCGCTGTGTACCATGGGCTACTTCGTTGATTATTACTCGCTTCCGAAGTACTGAGTGTGTAATACAGTGTGTTACTGTGTAAATAGTGTGTGAAGCTGTACATATTGTAATTTTGGTGAATTTTTAACAGGTAATATTGCAACAATAAACATTTATTGTGGACACATTACTGACACGTGTATCACAGTTCCATGGAACATTATGAGCGTTCTACTGTATACTTGAATGTGGTGATCATGTCCCCCCTAACTCTTCTGTCTTCCAGTGAAGTGAGGTTTAATTCCTGTAGCTTCTCCTCGTAACTCATACCTCTCAGCTCAGTGTAATTACCTAAGTGTAGTTACAGGATGAGAGCTACGCTCGTGGTGTCCCGTCTTCCCAGCACTCTGTCATATAACGGCAAACGTTATATGACAAAGTATAACTCTTTGTCATATAACGTGTGTGTGTGTGTGTGTGTGTGTTTGTGGTGTGGGGAAAAAAAAGTAGTTAGTAACAGTTGATTTACAGTTGAGAGGCGGATTCAATGCCGCAAGCACAACTAGGTGAATACAGATTAAATATCATGTTATCCCAGTTAAAGGAGAGGTTCCCCATTAGTCAGACTAATGCTAATCCTTCTAATAGTGATGGATAATATGATATTTCTATGTCCAAATACTCAAAGAAGTAAAAAAAGACAGGACAACACAAGTGACTTGAAGAGTACAACCATTGTGATGGGATCACTGGATTTGAAAGTTCTCGTAATCCATCCTATCATTTTTCTGGCTGATGCAATAATTGATTGGTTATGCTCCCTAAACGTTAGATCGTCGGACATCTTTATTCCCAAATCCTTTACATGCTGTTTTCCTACTATGGGTACATTTGATTGTGTTTTGTACTCTGTATTATGTTTAAGATCCTCATTTTTGCTGTACCTGAGTACCTGAAATTTATCACTGTTAAACATCATGTTATTTTCTGCTGCCCAATCGAAAACTTTGTTGAATATGAGATTCACCCATAAGTCAGCTACCATTGCATTAGTGTGTTCAATTATTGTATTTAGTAGAGTTAAAGGGTCAGACTGAGAAATAGATTGAGGGTTATGAGAGACTACATACTTAGAACTATAAGAGGGTAAGGTCCTACCTATGGAAGTTCAACAGTTCTGTGGATCATGTCTCTGTGGTTCATTCTAGGGTCAGTCAGGCTATTTGTAACCACTGCATTCAGTCTGGCATACAAATCACTACCTGGTTAATCAAGTGGTTTTTGGAGGCGTTTATCAAGTTCCTCTTTGAACACTAAAAGTTGTAAGCTAATGTCTTGATATATAGAGAGAGGGTGTTGAAAAGTCATTGGCCTTTTATGTGTATAGAATTGTCTCTTGGAGTACCTGTTTCACTGCTACTTTTCATTGGGTCTATTTTGCACATTCTGCAATTTCTCCTGGTCTCATTAGGAATTATTTAAGTGTGTAGATTTGGAACCAGTCCCTGTAATATTTTCAAAGTGATTATTAATACTGTATACAGTACATGTCTTGCCTGTGCTTCAAGGAGTACAGCTGAGAGATATTAAGCAGTTCCTGTAATTTAGATGTTTCCTTAATGCATTCAGCCAGTAAAAGTTTTCTGCACATTCTCTGGGTCAGCAACATCTGCTTTGAATTGGCTGTTAATGTGCAACAATGTTCTACCTGCCGGGTATCAAAGGTCCTGTGGCCCGGTCTCGACCAGGCCTCAGGGTTTGTCGTCTGGTCAACCAGACCAGATGTGGGTGTGGCTACATGCACCCTGATACAGTATGTGAATCACAACCTTGTTGAACAGATATTCTTTGGGGTGATTGTCGAGTTCTCTTGAACACCGCGACAGGCCGGCCAGTTATGCTCTTTATGTGTAGCGGGAGTATTGAAAAGTCTTAGGCCCTTGATTATTGATAGAGTTCTTCCTCAACATACCTACTGCACCTTTGCTTTTCAATGAGATTATTTTGCACATCCTGCAATGACTACTGATTTTATGTGAAGTAATCTCCATGTTCAGATTTGGAACCAGTCTCTAATATTTTCTACGTGTAGATTATTAAGAGTCTGTCACCTGCGCTCTAGAGAATACAGATTTAGAACTTTAATTGGTCCCAATAATTTAGATGACTTATAGAGTTGGGCCTGACAGCTGAGTGAACAGCACTTCGGATTCATAGTCCTGAGGTTCTGGGTTCGATCCCCAGTGGAGGCAGAAACAAATGGGCAGTGTCTTTCATCCTGATGTCCCTGTTACCTAGCAGTAAATAGACACCTGGGAATTAGACAGCTGCTACGGGCTGCTTCCTGGGGGCGTGTAACAAAAAGGAGGCCTGGTCGAGGACCGGGCTGTGGGGATTCTAAGCCCCGAAATCATCTCAAGATAACCTCAAGTGGATTCTAGCGGTAAAGTATCTTTGCACACACTCTAGGTCAGCAGTGTCTCTGGTTCTGAATGGGGCTGTTAGTATGCAACAATATGCCACCCCAGAGAACACTAGTGGCCTGAAAAGTATCATCATTGGTGTGGCAATCCTTGTTTGGAAGGTCCTTGTTATCCTACCTATCATTTTTCTTGCAGTTGTGATAGCTACTTTTATTGTGTTCTTTATAGGTAAGGTCTTCTGACAGGATTACTCCTAAATCCTTTACATTGCATTTTCATTCTATAGTGATTTGATTCCATTTTATTTATAGTATGTGACTTTTCCGTTTTTATATTTTAGTTTTTCCAAAGCGCAGGAGCTGGAACTTATCTTCATTAAACATCATATTATTATCTGTGGCCCATTGAAAGACCCAATTGACATTGGGTCTTTCAATGGGCCACAGATGGGCCACTTTCTTGCCCTACTTTGTCAGCAATTTCTTTTGTGTGCATTTTGTGTGCAGTAACTCTGTGGTCACATTTCCCATTAGCAGCCAAGAGTGCTAAGTGGCTAACCCATGCTGCTCCAGTCATCATCATTCTGATACCCAGTGTGACACCCCCTTCCCCCATGCATTCTGCAGACTTTTTCAGATGTTTATAGCTGAAATTGCTCATAATAATTGCCAATAAGGAAAAGAAGTGTCAGTGACGCACCAGTGCCAAGGAAGAGGCAACCTATTACCCTAGAAGCAAAAATAGAGATTGTCAACCACTCCTAGAAGGGAAAATGCTAACACTGATCACACATTTTTCAGAGGCTGGGGTGTACATGATAATGGGGATGGTGGCAAAAACTTTTATCAGGTTCTGTCGGTAGATAACCAACCACAGGTTAGAGAATTACTGAGATTCTGTGACAAATTCTTGCTCAGTCAGCAGATTACAGAACCAACTAGGAACGAAAACACGCTGGACCTGATATTCAAGAACAATGATGAGGTAATCAGAGACATTACTGTCTCAGACACTACGTACTCGGACCACAAGCTCATTGAAGTGCAAACTAACGTCAATAATGGTAGTAGGCCCAAGAGAAACAACAAGCGAGAAGGGTTATTCAATAAATTAAATTTTAATAATAAAAGGATAGACTGGGAGAAAATAAACAGGAACTTACGAACAGTCAATGGGAAAATGTTCTAAGAAATAAAAATCCTACACAAGGAATAGAAAAACTGACTTCTGAAGCATATGAAGTCTGTCTGAAACATGTTCCTTTGAGGAAAGCCAGAAAGAGGTCCAATGTAGAAAGTGAACGCAGACGACATTACAAAAGAAGGAAGAAATTAACGGAAATGCTTAAGCAGACACGACACACTCATTCCTCCATAGCCTGCTGTTCTCATGTTATGAGGGAGGAAGTGAGGGAGGGATGGAAGGCATTAAGGGAGGGATGGGAGGCAGTGATAGAGGGAGGCATAGAGGGGAAGAGGCAGGGAGGGAGGGAGGCATAGTGGGGAAGAGGCAGGGAGGGAGGGAAGAGTGGGGAAGAGGCAGGGAGGGAGGGAAGAGTGGCGATGAGGGAAGAGTGGCGGTGAGGGAGGGGGGGGGGGAGGTGTTTGGTTAATATGATACACTTGTGTGGTCCACTTGTCCACTTGTGTGATCCAACTTGTCATATGAAGGAATTATTAATTGTAACCTGTGAAAGAATGGGCACTAAGACAGGAACTAACTTGGAACGAAATTACACAATGCACTTTATTTCATTTTAGTTATATAAAATATATCTAACCTGAATGTTACTTGAAACATTACCGACGCTTCAACAACTTCGGGAAATACCGGAGCCCCGGAAATAACGACCTGGGTACAGCCCCATATAGGCCGTTAAATTGAGTGGATACTTATTATTGCACCACTCTTTCCTGATATTGTACCTATGTTTTTGTTGTTTTAGTTTCAGCTACTAAGAACAAAAGTTCCAAAGTAGCACGGGCTATGGTGAGCCTGTAGTGGATTTACCTGGCACAGAAGCGGGGCTGTAACTGAACATGCAGTATACCGAACATACGTAAATATTGTACCTAGTTCCATTGTTATTCTATATGAGCGTGAGGTGAAGATTTTTACTCACGAGATCCCTCACTGTCTTAGGCAACTTAGTATCAATAAACCTATCATTGCTACATGCTATGCTGTAGTGAAATGTTCTATGTATTCTTAAGCAGGTAAAGAAAAGTAAAGCTTGCAAACTAACCAAAAAAATTATGTTACATGTTTTACAAAACTTGCAAATTGAATAATGATTTTTGAATACCTAATTTTACTGTGTGTGCCAAATTAATAAATTTATGTATTGTTGAATTTCAGACTCAACCTGGTTTGTACGAAAAGTTGAGCCATGGAACAGTGTACGAGTGACATTCTCCATCCCCCGAGAAGCTGCTGTACGTCTACATCAACTGGCACAAGCAGGAGATCAAGCACTACGGCAGTTGGGTATTCTTTCTGTCCAAGTAGAAGGTGACCAGGTATGTCACTACATACGGTTTTCATTTGCTGAATACTATTATCAGAAATGTTTAATTTACTTGCAAAGTTGTCACCAATGTTAATGGTTGTTAGCATACATACTTCGTGTGTTATCTTTCCACCTCAGTTCCAGCTGCTTGTTGCTTTTACTACGTAACAGTCACCTCTTGGAATGCCATAGTGAAACATAGGCATTTTCTTCTTTCCCACCCTTACTCTTAATACATGTGCCTGGGTTTGGCTCCAGCAAGTACTTGGCTAGAGTTGGACTCGAGTAGTAATTACCTATATGTGTCCCTTATCCAATAGTGTGGCCATCATTGTCTTCCAGAATATCTTGGGAATAGTCTTTTGTAACATCCACATTAGTTTCAGAATAAAGGATCATATCATGTCAATCATGAGCTGTTTTACATTCACACATTCCTAATAATTTCCAAGTGACCCTGTGGTGTTTTGAAGATGTTTAGTACCCGAAGGATACACGTCCTTTGAAGAGCACAATTGACTTGTCAGTCACAACCTGTGCAGGCACATAATATTCTTTCTGCTTTGTAATCAGGTCTGTGAATATTTGCCTCACTTTCCCCAGTTTATCCATATTATCAAGTGTCATTATCTGTAAAATATAGACACTTAAAAGAACATCCAACGATGTTCACCTATCGAACGTAGAGGTTGTGAGAATAGTGACATCACTACAGTAATCATACAATACATGTTTCTGTTCATTATCTGTAAAATATAGACACTTAAAAGAACATCCAACGATGTTCACCTATCGAACGTAGAGGTTGTGAGAATAGTGACATCACTACAGTAATCATACAATACATGTTTCTGTTCATGTGGTAGCAACAGGCACAGTGCAAGAAAGGTGTTCATTTATGGATATTTGTCTTCTTCTATTGATGCATTAATAAATTATGTGGTAAATTCCCAGCTTTCACTGGTACATGAATTGGGGTTATGCACTGTGGGTCATAAAAATCTCATCAAAATACTCAGTAAAATAGTTAATTTCACACATTTCATTGTCAATAATAAAATTGTCCGTCACTCCGACATGTGTACCATCAAGGTTCTGGATATTTGGAGCAAAATTGTCCCCACATTCCCAAGTCATTGTCACTGGAGTTGCTGCTGTTCTCCCAGTACTATGAATGCACATACCAACAATCTCAACATGATGTAGTCAAGTAGATGAAGCTCCTTTTTTAGGTATGCCACATCCATGCTCATGTGAACATGAAAGTGTACAGTATTGACAATATCGTCAAGATGCCTAATTATGCATTGTCACTTGGGAGAAAGTGAGTATTTAGCTGCAGGTGGGATTCATTCCACCACTATCTTCACCATTACTGAACCCGAGGAAGGACACTACCAACACTTGCATCAGATTTCATTAACACTTTAGTCCGGGCATGACGCAGCGTTGTGTCATCCGTTTACTGTCGGTAATCTCGGGGATGACGCAATGCTGTGTCGTCCTCTAAAATAATTGCCAAAAATCAGGTTTTTATCCGATTTTGGGGGGACTGTTTGGTAACTGTCAACAAGCCTGTATGAGTAACCTGTGGCGCTGTGGTCAGCGCGCTCGGCTCACAACCGAGAGGTCCTGGGTTCGAATCCCGGGCAGGGCGAGACAAACGGGCAGGTCTCCTTACACCCATTGCCCATGTTCACCTAGCACTAAATAGGTACCTGGGTGTTAGTCGACTGTTGTGGGTCGCATCCTGGGGAATGGTCGAGTGTTGAGCGCACTGTGCCTGACAAAGAATCCCATAAGTATCAAAGTAACTCAAAACTTAAGGGAGACGGTAACCTCCCAAAAATACCTGATCAACCAGGCTGTGACTCATACGTCGGGCTGCGAGCAGCCACGTCCAACAGCCTGGTTGATCAGTCCGGCAACCAGAAGGCCTGGTCGACGACCGGACCGCGGGGATGCTAAGCCCCGGAAGCACCTCAAGGTAACCTCAAGGTAAGCCGAATGCAATCTGTGACTACAATATAAACATGAAAGGTGTTGATCACTTTGACCAAATGATCAAATATTATCACTTCATAAGGAAAACTCACAAATGGACGAAGAAAATGACCATCTATTTTGTGCAAATGGCTATCTACAATGCTTATGTGATGTACAACTACAGGTACTACACAAAAAATACTAAACTATAATACTAAATATACTAAAATACTAAATACTAAACATTTGTAGGCAGGAATTGGGAGTGTAGCTGGAAGGCGTCTGGGCGCTCACTCGCGGCTAACGCGTGGCCCGTCTTCAACTCGTCGGCGGGTGGAGCGTGACCAGGTTTTTTATTTTATATGCTAATATTCCTCTAGAGAATTCTATTGCGAACCCATTGATACCAAAATGAAAGACCTAGGACGAAAATTGAGGTGACCAGAGTGAAAAGAGTGAACACATTTTATCGCTTTTGCGCGCTCCTGGGTAACTCGTTCGCACTTTCTCTGTTTGCTGCGGGTAATTAGCCGGGTTTTTGGAGTTTATATGCATTTAGGGTTGTAGAGAATTCTATTGCGAACACAATGATACCAAATTTAATCTCGTAGGACGCGAATTGAGGTGACAAAGTTGAAGAGAGTATACACTTTTTAGAATTAACGCGCGCTCCCGTGAAACGCTGGGACCCAAATCGCACAGTTGAGGGGTGGCGCGCCGGGTACGCCAAAGTGTTAACTTCTTTTTGGCGATGCAAAATAAAATCCTTTGTGTGCATGCTGGTGTCACCATTCATGCCATCAAGCTGTGGATCCTCACACTCCTCATACTTGCTCTCACATACTGTGGAACTCTCGTCACTTCTTGTACCTTTTGTCATCAATGACAATACATCATCTGCAGCTTCCTCCTAAATACCCTGTATATCTTCATTTTCATCATTTGTGAGGGATGCCTTTGTGTGCAACACAGGATGTGTTTTGGCCAGTGGGAGATTGAATCATCACTCATTGTCAATAACTTGTGATTGAAGATATATGGTGACGTCTGTGGGTCTCAATTTTTTCTAAGATGGCAGATGATTGCTGGAGGCCTCTGGTATTGAACATCCAAGTAGGACCCATTGGACTTGTACAGTTTTATGCACACATTAAATTGTAAATGGCAATTTGAATACAGGAGGTAATTGCAGATAGCAATTGTAATTGCTTATGGGTTATTACTAATCCATGAATGTATATAAAGGAAACAACTGAAATTTCTGTCATTTTGTTGTAAAATAAGTGTCTGCCACCGCCGCCAACCTGCGCTGAGATTTTAACCCTTAAGTTGCGCATCGCATCATATGATGCTTTGACCGACTTGCAGTAAATTGCGCATCGCATCATATGATGCTTTGGAGTACTACGCAAGATTTAAACGGCCCACGGATACACGGGGTTCACTACACCTTCATCAGGGCTCTTGTAAACAGACGCCATTTAAAATAAAATCTTAGGCCAATTTCCCGGGTGTTAGGGGCCTCAGTATTGAGTGAGCTACCAAGCCTGACGCACGCAATATGAGCTCACAGCACTGCTGTTCAGCTTGTGACCACAGCATTGCCTAAAAATGCCATAATATACTTGTTCATGCTATTATGTAGCGATGATATTATTAAAGACGACCCCTGACTGTGATAAAACTGACCAGGGTTCTGATAATAGCAGGATTGTGGTGATATTTAGTGCTATGCTCCATGGAGGGAGGAGTAATGCTGTGGGAGGGAGGGTGGTGGCGTTGTCTTCTGACTGTGTGTGGCCACCTTTTATTGACTGCACTCAACATACCAGCTTAGTGGTTCGCTATGGTGAACACAAATGTAGTTACTTATATATAACGTGTGTATAGAGGGTATAAACAGCAATAGGAGTAGGTTGGGAGCCGCTATTTTGGTGAGGGCGGTGGCGACGTCTGCACGACTTATCATATTGTTTACTGGTGACCACTGTGGTCTTTGGGCACCATACCAGTTTACTTGTACAAGTATGGTGAATAAAACGGGTAGATACTTCCTAATGTGTGTATATAGCATAATAACACCACAAAGAGTATTGTTGGAGGAGAAATATTAGTGCATCTGGCCTTGAGGGCGGCCGCCACCAGCTGACTGTGTGAGTAGCTACGTCTTTGTGCCTTTACTCACCATACAAGCTTAGATGTACAGTTATGGTGAACAAAACATGTAAATACTTATATATAACGTCTGTATATAAAAGCAAAAAAGTAAAAGTAAGAGGAGAATGGTGGCAAGTCAGGTGAGGGAGGGAGGGAGTGGCAGCCAGTGGCGGACTGCCACTGGATGCCATTGCCACTCAGCATACCAACTTAGTGGTTCGTTACGGTGAACACGAATGTAGATACTTATATATAGCGTCTGTATATAATGAATAAAAGCAAAAACAGTATTGTGGGAGGAGAATGTGGGTGAGTCAGGTGACTTGAGGGAGGGAGGAAGTAGCAGCCAGTGGCGGGCTGCCACTGGCACTGCCACTCAGCATGCCAACTTAGAGGTTCGTTATGGTGAACACGAATGTATATACTTATATATAACGTCTGTATATAGTGAATAAAAGCAAAAACAGTATGGTGGGAGGAGAATGTGGGCGAGTGAGGTGTTGAGGGAGTGAGTGGCTGGCTGGTGTGTGGTGGTCACTCATCGTTACTTTTTGACTCATAATAGCAACTTAGTGGTTCGTTATGGTGAACAAAACATGCAGGTACTTATATACAGCCTGTGTATATAGTGTAATAACCGACAAAGTATTTGTTCACTGTTTGATGAACATAATTGAATCAACAATATGCACACCATATTTTTGAGTACAGCGATGATTCACTCATTTTATTATAAATATATCACACTACACACTATTGAATAATATTACAGCAAAAAAACTACAAAAAATCAATCAGAGACATTGAAATAATTAGGTAATTATCTCTTTGTGGCAACTCCGGCCTGACAGCTGGCGATCAACAGAC